TAGATGTGGTGATTTAACGGAGCAGAACAAGCAGACAGAACAAAAAACAAAAAAGGGGCAAGAGTTGTACGGATGACAGCAGAGACAATAATGTCGGGGGGGGGGGGGGGGAGGCGAGAAGGAGGAGGGGGAGGAGGAAGAGGAGGAGGAGGAGGAGAGAGAGATACAGAGGGGGGGGGGTATATATATATATACATACAGAGAGAGGCGGACGATCGATAGGATAGATAGTGATTCAAATAATGACTTACTTACCTCAGATCACTCTCCCCGGAGTTTACTACTCACTCTGGTAGACATGCACCTCGACCTCGTTCAAATCCGAATGTCAATGTAGCTATGATAGCGGCCACAATAAGACGAGTTACTACATAGGTTCAAATTAAGCTTCAGAGCAAGAAATAAATCACGACGATCTATATCATTCACACTACGTGCCCCTAGCCACAAACTAAATGATTAACATGCTAATATTTTTCAATTAAAAAAAAGAACGTGTCGCATACATGCGCATCGAACCAAGAAACTCTGTTCAACACGAAGCCAGATAACATTTCTAATTGAATGACACAAATGAAAAAATTCTTCGTGGGGAAGCAAGTTTGCTTACCTACGTCATACTGGCATGTGGTGGTTTCTACGTTGAACTTGTAGTTAGGTCTATTACAGCGGGGCTTAGGTTTTCTCGTCATAAATCTTTTATTCCAGCACTTTTCATCTCCTCTCCAGCGATCACTAATTCATTCAAGAAACACCTGTGCTGTTATCATGTCAAAAGAGGGTCTTTAACCTTCAAATTCACAGTTCAGTAATTTTGATATGCTGTTCTTCATAAACATCACGTACTTGTGCCTCAATGAGCATCATAATAATTCTATATTTTCAAGTGGTATATTGTTTTTTATTAGTACTTTAAGCCATAAATGAACCCGACCTGAATGTACTGAATCAGATCTGAGTACATCAGTCGCCAGCCGGGTACGTGCAAAATGTTTTTATTGGTAAACTGGGGGTCAAAAAGTCAAATAAAGGAGGGGGAGAGAGAGAGAGAGAGAGAGGGAGGAAGAGGAAGGGGGAGAGAAAGAGAGAGAGAGGGGGAGGGAGGGAAGGAGAGAGAGAGAGGGGGAGAGGGGGAGGAGAGGGAGGGGAAGGGGGAGAGAGACAGACAGACAGAGAGAGCGAGAAAGAAAAAGAGAGAGAGAGAGAGAAAGAAAGAGAGAGTTGGAAATAAGTAGAAAGTGTGCGATAGAGAAAGAGACAGGTTAGGAAGCAGATAGGCCTAGAGCTGGGAGGTGAAGACCCCCCCCCCTAAAAAAGGTGATTCTCATTATTCAAAAGGCAAGATATCTATTAAAAACACACTAACAAAAAAACACTTCAAAATATTTGGAAATAAGAACAATTCCATCACATCGCTTTGTTTCATAATAATAATAATCTTTATTCTCCAAGATAAAAGCGAACCCAATATACCATGTATATTATACTCTACTATCTTATACACATATCTTTTAAAAACATGAGATGACCCATATAAAGCCAATATGCATATTGATATTTTCCGAATTAAAAAACAACAAAAATAAATACAAAATGTGATGATAATGATCATCAATAGGCACCCTATAGAACACCTGTTGAAAGCCAAGGTAGGAGAAGAACATACAATACTGCTTAAAAGAGAAACATATGGTACTACATAGGGGCAGTTCTAGGGGGGGGGGGGTTTCAGCGGTTCAACCCACCCCCCCCCCCCTTGGGCGGCCAAGTAAAAAAGAAGAAAAAAAATTAAACAGTAAAACAGCGCAATTTTTGGAATTTGTTTGGGTCAAACACCCATCAGACAGAATCCGAACTGCATACATTAGTTGTTGCCAGGTAGGACAAATATTATGGCTTGACCTACCTAGCAACACCTAATATATACAGTTTGCATTCTGACTATTGAAATACTATTATTCTTCAGGTGAATGAAATAATTTGTATTGAGGCACTTTGATTACATAACAAAAATAGCCTATTGCCTGAAGTTGATCATTATAAAGTAGTTGCGGTTGTGTTGTACTATTTAACGTTAATAAAATTACACTATTGACAGATAATGACTCCAAAAATATATCTACATGTAGCATCAAAATGATATTAAGTTGACAAGTGCAGAATTTATGTGCCAAAACTTTGATTGTCATTGATTGTCAATTTTGACAAATTGAGGCCACAAAAAATTAACAATTAGTTCAGAACACAACAATTTCATTTGGCATTGCACATGTTATTATGGAATTAAGCTTATTCTCCCGAGTTTGTTGAATTATTCATAACGTTTTAGCCTCAATACGTTGTTTTGGAATGACAGGTGGTCATGAACAAAATATATTATTAAAAAGGCCATTCTCGTAATGTATTCAAAGTAATACGACTTTTACTACCAACGAACTAGTACATTCACCTGTTATACATTTATTGTATTGTATTTCAACAGTCAGAATGTGGATTGCATAGTTGTTGTTTGTCGTTAGGGGTAGGACGAACATCATGACTTGCCCTACATAACATATAATGTATGCAATTTGCATTCGGACTATACACAAAGACATATGCATTAACAATAATTTGAATACATTAACAAATTGAGTATTCTGGACTGACTACTAATACAGATTTTCTGCTCTTTAAAGTAAACATTTCACTACAATTTCAAAGCACAATACACTATGAATATGACTGACAAAGAAAGCAGACAAAATATACAGTTCCTCAGGTAGACAAAGGAACATCCCTTCACTGCTATTTTGTAAACATGTGTAGAACAGGTGTCACATGCATATTCACCTTTTTACATAATAGCAGTGAACTGTATATTTTGTCCGCTTTCTTTGTCTGTTATGTTCATAGTGATATGAGAAACGTATTTGATGAAATGACATAAAAATAACTCTTAATAAAAATAAACACTACTTCTCATGGCTCGACCTGATACACATCCACATACAGTCAAACTCGTCTATTAAGACTGTTCAAGGGTTACACAAAAAAGTGGCCACTGAAGTCAGGTGGTCTATTCCGACAGGTTTTTCAAAACAAATTTCCTTCCAGAGAAAGGCTATATGGGTGACCACTAATGAGAGGTGGCCTTTATAGAGAAGTGGTCATGACAGGTTTGGCAGTATTACTTTTGCATTAATACCGATCATATTAAATCAATTATCATAAAAGACCAGTTTTGGAAATGCCCCCCTTTCAAAAAATGAAATGGAAGCTCTTATTACCAATCATGTGAAAGAATATGTTTTGAATAATATGTGATACAAATTTTGCCGAGAGACCGCCTACTAATTGATATATTTGGTAAATTATTATATCTATTTGGACCTGATAGATATAACACATGTGACGCTTAGTCCCATATACATCTTTCTGTGTACAGTGCTTGTAACTTTACCAAGACTGGGCCAAATTTCATCATTTTGATGATTCCAGAACTTTGCAGTACACACCAATACTTATATGCTAGATGATCAACCTTTTCTGATCGATTCCACAACATTTCTTTCGCATTGCAATCGCATGACCATGACTGGTCTTTATCTTTAAAACTTAGTGCATGTTGAAATATATAGACATAAACACAGTACACTGATATTCATAATTGGTTTATAGGGTCTTCCCGTAAGAAAACCAGGAATATGACCTCAAAGACTCTCAAGAGGTCAACATCAGGGAATAAATCCTATTGAATTGCCTCTAGAAAACATGTCTGGATTATGACATACATCATCATGAAGAACAGGGGCCCCAGTAAAGAACCTTGTGGCACACATTTCATATTTATTTTTTCATCAGAACGTACATTAAAATAGGCTACCAACCGTATTTTGTTCTTTTTTTCTGTATGATTATTTTGTATGTTTTTCATCTGATTTTATTATATGGAAATAAAAACAACAACAACCGTCATGTTCACACATTTCAATTGTTAAAGCACAGGGCTATCAAAATTTCTTTAGTTTGATTTTGTTAAAGTCTTTGAGATTGTGTTTAGGGTTTATTAAAGTTGAAAATGAAAAAAGTACAGAATAAAAAAAAAAATCATTAATTTGATTGTATGACTGATTCACACCAAAATTGAATAAAAGTAAAGACCAGTGTTGACCTTGCAAAGTTAGAATAAACATTCAGTTACACATAACAAAATTGTAATATTTCATCTTGCTAAATTGATGAAATATCTTTACAAATATAATTACATAAAGCAACTTAAAGCCCCACTGCACTAATTTGGCCAGGAGGGATTAGACCCCCCCCCCCCCTGCATGGTCACTGACAAATCAGCTCTCAATTAACACAATAAAAAGAGGATCACGGGACCAATGGTCACCGATTAGGCATTGTTTGCTATATAGAGGGCTTGAAATGATAAAAAACACAAATTTTAGCTCAAGAAATAAACAAATGTAACAAATCTCCTGAGGTACTGATGGACTGAATTGCCAATTAATATGAATATAGTAATTATACATATTAATCATAATGAATGGTTCTACAATGCATGCTGCTCCAATGGCAACTACTCAATGGTCTATTTCTCTGCACTAACCAAATTCCAAACTTCAACCTTGGATTCAACACTATAGTTAACCCTAACCCTAACCCATAACCGGATTCAAACCTGAAACCTAAACCTAACCCTATACCTTTGAAGACATAAAGACTGGGCATCAGGAGTAAGTTGTATCATGTATAAATACCCCTCGATCACACCGATTATATTTATTGCACATAAATATCAGATACAACATATACTGAAGTTTAAATCCCGTGAAATAAATAATTTCAGGTTTAATAAGTTGCACAACATTGATGTTTTCTTATATTCAAGAACTCAAAAACCCATTTAAAAATGTATCTGCAGCAGCGAGATGGGTTCATGAAAAAATGTGCAAAATTTCAGATAAAAAGACTCAAATGGGGTGAAAAAAATTACACTGCAAGATGCAAAATTGAAATTTGAACAGAAAAATGACTTCAATTTCATTACTAATGATTCTTTTGCCACCATACTTTTAGGTAAGTTTTCAATTAGGATTTTTAAAAACATTTCGGCCAATCAACAGTTTGCAGTATAATTTTTTTTAAATGGTTCAAGAATTTAAACTATTTCTTTTCAATCTTATATCACTTGTATCAAAGAAAACAGAGGGTCAGCAAGAAAGACACTATAAAAACTGCCCAACAGAGGGGGCTCCACCAATATCATTATGAATACCACTTTCACTACCATATATGTTAGCTCTTTTAACACAGCAAGGTATTTATGTATGCCACACGTTTGTTCTTCTTCTATTTCGACTGGTGTGGCCTTTATTGCATGAATACTAATAAATCCAGTCTTGGTAAAACCAAACATTTGTGGAAGCAGAAAGACAGGAAACATTATTGCTAGTAATGTTATGGGGCACCTGCACCAGGCATAGGAGAAATCATGAATACATTACTCTCAATACTTGGGACTGGGACTTGGTCTTTAGTGACAACATGGGCAATCAATTTTCATAAGCGTGTTAATGGCTTAAAACAATGACGAAAAACAAAGAAGAAAAAAGCAAAACAAAAACAATATTAAAAAAATACCCCCTAAACACAAAACAAAAACAAACAAACACACACACACACACGCACACATACAAAACACACACATTAACTGAGCATCTGCATATCATGAGCACTTAAAAGTTAGTCCATTATCAATTCTACGGATAAAATGACAAAAGTTACTTCATAGACAATAATCACTGATAAAGTGATTCAATATATATAATATATATGTGATAATTAAAACAGTTGAAATAAAATCCCTGAGATTTTCTATTCACTATTACTGGTTTCGATTTATTTTGTCACCATCTTACAAAATTAAATTGAAACCTGTAATTGTGAATCAAAACTCTGAGAGATTTTTATTTCAACTGTTTTAACTATTATTTTGATATTAAACTGGAATGGAGGAGTTTTCAAACTAAATTATATACATAATCAAATCAAACATATACTTTTCAACCCTGGAAGACATCTGTATTTAAACAGGCAGTAAAACATGACAGGAGAATTTTAAAACAAAGTTAATCGCTCAAACAGTTCCTTTTTCCAATCCAACTAAATTCTAATGCATTTCCAAAATATCAAACATAGAGCCTTTTGAAACATTATCAAGTCCTGTATTTTGAATACATGTATCTCTTTTTTTAAAGAGACATTTAAATAAACACAACCTCTTTTTATTGCAAGACAGGGGCTGAGAGTCATTTTTGTCCCTAACGCTCTAGCATACGGTGAATTGCTGTCTACAACCAGTTCGTCTACTACCCAATTAGTCTATTCTCGTATAGTCTACACCAAGCCTGTCTACCAACCACATGATATAATAATCATTTTGTCTAACTTATCATTTGGTCTAATGATCATTCATGCTAAAAGTCATTTGGTCTAATCTCCGATTAGTCTACAACCAATTTGGTCTGTTGTTCATTTAGTCTAATAATTAATCAGTTACCGGTAGTCCAATTCCTAGTTTGTGTAATGTCCATTTTGTCTACCATCCAAAAGGTCTATAATAATCATTCAATAATTATTATTATTTATGATTAAATGATTATCTGACCATGTGGATAGTGAATGGACTGGGGGGATTGGGGGGAGAGGATGTGATCAAGTTTTGAGACCCTACACCCCATCCCTAAGCAAGATAGCATTTCTACTGCTACTTTGTTTATCTTTTTTCACAACTTTGCAAACAGATTGAAACTATAGAAGCCTCACACTACACAGTCCCCATATCAAATGGAACATCACTACTGTATAATTTACAAATAGAACTTTATGATAACAAATTAACAATACTTAAACAGCAAAAATTAGAAAATAAATAAGTTAGACAAGTGAGACAAGCCAGCCTTAATGATGATGAATCTTAGATTAACGCTGTCTCTACAACTCTACATTATTTCAGTAAAAAAAAGTTAAAGAAACAATAAAGAACCAACACTACTGCATAAAACATTAAATGCGCAACAACAAATATTTTTATGGCACTTTGGGTGTATCAATTTGCATACTGGTTACGGTAACTGGACTAGTCTCTGCATACAATTCCCCTTATAAACTATGCACCTACCTTATTGCAAAATATCATCAGTTTCAGATCCGAGGAATCCTCTAACTAAGGCACCTACCGGTAACTGTTACTTCCTAATCTTCAATCTTACTCATTACCAGGTGCTCATAAAAATCAACTGTACATTCAACAGAGATCATGCATATATCCCATTCAATTTACTATCAAAAAGACTACGTCTCCTATACAAAATATCCCTCTGCCCTAAATTCAGTATAGGAAATGGATGAAATCATTCAAGACATATCACGATGAAAACAAATAGTCTATAATCAAATGTCAACTGACGACTATGATCTTGACCTACTAGCACCAAAATGTAACTGGATCATCTTCCTATAGTAATACCGTCACCATGTTTAGAATTTATGATAGCAAGGCTGTGTGGTCTTTGACCTTTGACCTAATGAGACTTTCTTGATTTGATATCTGTTCCATTAAAGCTTGCTCTGAACTTTGACCTGCTTTTCTTTGGCAAGCATACTGGCCACATCCTCTAAAACTGCACAGATCTGTTCCAAGTACTGGAAGGGCACCTTCTTGTGGACTGGAAGGTACACCACATGGTCTATCAGGTACCTTGCCTCTTGTGGGTACTTCCCCGACATCACACTTGGGGAATCCCCTAAAGTCCTCTTTGGGGATTTCCCTGATGGTTCTAAATAGGCTTTGGTACCTCCTCCAGATGGAGAATTTGTATTGGAGGGTAGAGATCTGGGTTCCCTCTGGGTATTAGTTGCATCAGATTCTGCAGTGTTAGAGGAATGATTGACACCAGAAAGACCTTGTGTTCTTGAAGGATGGTTTAGAGTGTGTGTTGCCATGCTGTGATTGTTGGATGCCAGTTGCATAGCAGATGTCTTCAGGTCACTTGCAGGGGGATCAAGGTAGTTGGTGCCGCCATCAGACTGGGGAAATAACTCCATCGGTGAACCTTCTGAAGGACTTTGTGCATGCGACTCATGATGGACATGCTGTTGCTGTAGTTGGCTGTATGATACTGAACATAGATCTTTGGTATCACCAGCGCTGGAAGTACCATGAGTTCCACAATGTGACACTGGTGCACACTGAATTCCTTCACCTACTGAAGTGATGCCCTCAGGAGCTGTGTCAAAATGTGACTGCTGGTGCAAGTCTGAAGGAATTCCGGAGTTCCTGTACTGCTCTGCTGTACTTGGCGACGTCATGTGTGGTTCGGACTGTATTGCTGGGGTATTGCTGCTTTGGCTTTGAGCTACCCATGTCAGACCTCTTAGACGATTATTGCTTTGTCCTGTAGCCTCTTTAGAGTGAATGCTAACATATTCAGCTCTTTCATCATTGAAATATTTCAGTGATGGATCTTGCATATTATCTTCATTACTTTCTAACGATTGGTTGGTTTTTGTCCTTGCTGTACTACTTTCCATGGCATTGTCCACATGACCAGGCAATTGTTCCAGCCTTGCTCTAGGAGATAACTCTCTATTATTGAGGTCGGATTCACTAGTTCCAGGCACTATCCTACGATCTGTTACAGGACTTGTCCTCGCGCTGTTAATATTCCCTGCTCTCAGCTGCCCTTCTGACAATCCTCTACCGTGGCCAGCATCAGATTGTGTAGTCCTACTCGTGCCTCTGGAGTCACCAACAGCACTTGTCCTGCCACAGGACGCAGCCTTGACCACACTGGAAGTATCCTCTGCAGGTCTAGAGGAGTGGTCAAGTTTCTGCTGGACCATCTCTGAAGGGTTGGCAAGGTTCCTTGGGATCTCTACATCAGATTCTATCAGGTCCAACTGTGTTGCTCCTCTGTAGGCATCAACGCCACGAGCATTCAGCTCCTTCATTACCCTTTCTGGATTATCCTAAATGTAAAACAAAGGAAGAGAGGGAAAAAATGTTGTAAATTATAATTTTACATTGCTTTCTCGGATTAATGAAGATGTGAAACAGTTCAATGTGGCAGATACCAATGAATCATATAAATATAAAACACTGTAATATTAAGCTTTGCAGCAAACTGAAAAAACCTATCTCATTTCCTACTTTAATTTTTTGTCTTGTTCAATAAGATATATACTATCAGTGCCCATGTTTAAAATAAAAGAAATAGATAATAAAGGTAACTTTCAGCTATCACGTGAAATCTATTGAACATTTTATGCACGGTCAAGATGGTCAAAAAGACCACATGGTTATCAAGGACACATTATCTGTATCCCTTGACCATCGTTGCTCATTGGGCTTGACCCAGGTGGAGTAGATGGGTTCCTGGCACAAAGACATTCCTTGAATGCTAGAAGGCCATAATGACAGCCTTGCTACTGCCAGTTTAATAACTGTTGAACACAGGAGTGTCAAGTTTGACAGACATGAGCGCTATACAAGAACCTATTACAGTGAAACCTGTGTATAAAGACTGCTTGAGGGAGGCAATACAAGTGGTCTTTATAGACAGGTGGTCTTTATGTACAGGTTCCTTTAGTACAGGTTCCAATGAGAAACCACATTCAAGGGGAACAAAAAATGTGGTCTTTATAAACAGGTGGTCGCTAAAGAAGGGTTCACTGTATTATCAGTACTAAACATGTATTTAAGGAACCTGTACATAAAGACAACCTGCCTATAAAAACACCTTTCCTTCTCTTACATGTACTTGAGCAGTCTTTACACGCAGGTTTTAATAACGGTTCATTATAATTGACAGTAGAGGTGTAGGTCTTGATGCAGAATGTGTTCAATAGGGAAGTTACAAATTATATGTGCAGACATCGCACGGTGAACTAACATGTCATTTCCTGTCTCTTCACTCCTAATCAATCAGGGAGACGAATAATCTAAGCATGACCTGAACACCACAGGTAAAAGCAAAGGGAGATTCCCCCTTTCCTTTAAAGGCATCGTTCAACAATGTTAAATCTAAGAGGCATGTGTTATCGTGTTATCAGTGTCGGTGATATGGTGTAATATTGAAGTCCTGAAAAAATTGTGTCTCAAAATGATCAAAAAAGTAAAAGTCTTTGAGTGTCCGGTTTTACCATACTTATTTTCCCCAAAAGTAATGTTTTTGAAATTTCAATTTCCAATCATAAATATCTTAGATAATCAGACAGGCGATCGGCTTGTAAGAAAGAGTCATGGGGTTCCTGACTGACCTAGAGGTGTATAATTAGCATTGCAGCATGAGCTAAATCCAGGATTTTGTTTCAGAATCTGAGACAAAGATACCCAATCCGTTTAATCATGATGGTACATGTACATACATGCCAACATTTGAAAATCAGAAATCTGTACAAATTATACTATTTAAAAAAAAAGAGGAACAATCCTAACTCTCCTATTCAATACTACAGACAAATTTGTACAGGAAGAGGAACACCTGCATTAAAATGATAATTATCTTCTCCCAAAAAGAGGAATGTTCCTCTTTAATCTGAACAGTTGGCATGTATGCATGTAGTGAGTCACTGAGATTATATTGTGTATGCATAAACCAAACAGTCCAGAATAGGGACCCCCCCCCCCACCCCACCATCATTGGACAGAGTCACTGACATCATATACACTGTATGAATAACTGAACACCAACCACTGATCACTGTACCCCCCCCCCCCCCCTCCTATCTATGCCATCTAACTGTCAGCTGATTTTGGAGGAGAACAAAATGTAGTAAAATTGATGACATGCTAACTATAGAAACATAAAATCTCCCTGACTATGTTTTTTACAAAGTAAAATCGTAAATGTTGGGTACCTGTAAATGGGTACCTGGTAGGAATTTATTCCTTGAAATGATAGAGCACCGTATGGCAGTCGTGCTAAAGCCAAAGTATTAATCAGGAGCGCCAGGAGGGTCAAATCTGACTGACATGAGCCCTATACAAGAACCCACTATTATTATTATTATTATTGTGAGACTACTGGTACAAGAAAAGGCCTTACATTTACATGTATCTGCAGTGATAGTGATTCATGGTAATATCTGAGCAATTGCAAGACGGTCCTTGGTTGACCTTTATAAGACTATTGCATAACGTTCATATAGCCTCAAACTTACTGATACATTTGTGGTTGACTCTACTGAAGCACACATGTACATGTAATATGAAGTAATTTTTTTTTTCTCACCATAGTCCAATTGATGGTGAATAAATATACAGGTATGCATGTAAGTCTCAGCACTTAATAACAATAAGAAATGTAAAGGAAGTGAAATCAAATCAAGAATGCTAATTCAAAATGCATAAGTAGTCATAAATCACAAATGAACAAAATGGTAATCACACCCGGCCCCCCCACTCAGTGTTATTTAGGGTACGCATATGCATGTTCCAACCGACACCCCCCCTTTTCAGCAAAAGTCCGGTGTGTAAAGTCAATACGGGTCGACCTTTTTCTTTTGTTACGAAAAGGACATTTTGGCAACACGCATGGGGTCCATCCGTTCTCGGAGTGGGGGGGCCAGGTAATCACAAGAACCAAGCCAATCAAAATGTGTTGGACCAAATGGTCTGATTGTTCAGGTTACTTTCAGAGCAACTTGCTTCTAACTATGTAGTTCTTGAAAACAATGATAAATACTTACGACCAAGATAGGAAAGAGCCAATAGTTTTGTTTGTCAGCCTTCTGTCCCACACCCTGTATTCCAGGTGGAAGCCTCCTAGATACAATGTCCCCTTTGATGTTACCCAGTTTGAAGGAGCTCACATCAAAGTTCTTTAATCTGTCAAATAATGTTCAGGAATGGTCAGTTTTTTTTCTTTCTCAATATCACCTATATTGTGTGAAAATTTGTTTGAATGGGAGTTATAACTGCAGGGCAGATATATACATCCTATTCAAACATTTTTAGGTGATCTTCACATAAAAATGATTCTAACAATGTTTTACACTTCCTGATCCATCAGAATATGAAATTTAAAAAATGAGAGATATGTTCCCCATTAGAACAAATTTAGTATTCCCTTGTCAAAGGATATTCCTACCAAGTTTAGTTAATATCTGGCAAAGCATTTTTGAGAAGTCGAAAATGTGAATCACCATTTTTTTTTTTTTTTTTTTTTGTTTTTTGGGGGGGGGGGGTTCTTAAAATGATAAGAACTACAACATGGTGATTCTACCACAAATGCTAGTGACAATCGTCCCAGGATGAATATCCTCACTTGATTGATTCCTAACTTTCACATTTTACCCAACACTATAACCCTAAAACTAACGCCAACTCTGAACCTAAACTGGCTGCAACTTAATCACAAATTACCCTAACCCTAACTCTCTAGCCCTCTATCTTTGATGAGGTCACCTACTCCGCAGAAATCATGAGGCTAAGAAAGAGTATCAACTGAACGTACCTCCTGTACATCATGAAAAGCAGAGTAACACTCGGCCTCATCCTGATGCTGTCAAAGAAACCTTGGGGGAATCCCCGTATGGAATTAACGATGACATCACGATGGTTGATCCCCAGCGCATTGAGGAGCAGCGTGCAGTGCTTGACAAGGAACGGTGAGTTGATCAAGGTCATCAGGAACGAGTACTTGATGAGTTTCTTGAGGTAGACGGTGCGCCCTCTGATGGGGTAGGAGTGGTAGATGGTGCGCATCTGAGCCAGGAGACGCTGATCTCGCACCACTGCTATGGCACCTGGGTGATTCAAACAACGTCAACAGAAGACAAAAATAATTTTTTTTAAAAATGCATCATAAATTAAAACGAAAAGAAAGAAATATCTTCTGCAAACAACACTGTTTCTAGCACAAGCCACATAGTTTGAAACGGTTAAAAAAAAATTAACATTGGCTGGTTGCGTCGATTTTTAATACTTCATAGACTTTTCAGCCGGATTTATCAACAATCAATAATGTTTTGGACTTCTTTGTATTGTGAATACTTTGGGGAATACACCTTACAAGTTTTAGCAAACTTTTTAATAGTTTCCATTGTCCCTTAATCACACTTAATCTTACCGGTACTCTGTATATATCATTGTCATTGTTTTTTAATGATTGAGGTGACAAAAATTCAACCATTGAACCATAACTATCCCCACTAAATAATTGACATTTTGTTGGGTATATTTTTTATCAAAATACCCTTGTAAAGAATTGAAAATGTAATATGCTGTTTGTCAAACAATTATTAGCTGATTGTGTTTTGGGTGATGGTTGATCTAGATCTATAGCCCCCAAGGTGATTCTGACACTGTACTATTCGGCGCACCTGGGGGTCATGGCAGGATGCAACATCCCCTTGAGCCTATAAAAACAGCCAGGCCTCTCATAGCAGTCAATATATCTATACTAATAGGGACTTTTAGATTTGCACAACGATAACGTGGATTGCTACGATCGACGTCCTTTTAATGCACTGCCTTGAATGGACGTCACACGTATCAGTCCACACAAATCTAAAAGTCCCTATTGTTTCCCGTACAACTGCCTACCTCCAAAGGCTGTACAGGTCTTGATGAGACCAAAGCTGAAGAAGGTGACATCCGCAGCAGGGTGACCATGGTTCTGGATGCCGCTGAAGGCCTCTGCACAGTCCTCCACGATGTCCAGGCGATGTTCCTTTGCAACAGCAACGATGTCTTCCAGGTCGACCCAACGACCGTAGAGGTGGGCAACAAGAATGGCTACCGTCTTTGGGGTGATGAGAGATTGCAGATGATCTACCTTCACAGTGGAACATAAATAGTGTAGTGAACCAATCATCATTTGTATATTGATCACTCTTTATTATTTATTAGCTTGATTAGTGTGACCCTATGTAGTCTATACAGCCTACTGCATTCCATAAGCCCTGTATGGGGGGGCCGTTGGTGCCATTATTATGAACAACTATACACCTATCGAGTAGATGCATAGTTGTATACCGGTAGTTGTATAGTTGTATAGTTGTATAGTTTCCTGTGTTCTGATTGTTAAAACTGTACAACTATACAACTATGCAACTATGCATCTACTCGATAGGCGTATAGTTGTATAGTTGTACAAAATAATGGCACCAACGGCCCCCATAGCCCTGTTCATGTATATTGACATACAGTAGTTAGAGACTGACAGAATTACTGTAGGCTGAGCTCAAGACTTTAAAGAATTTATCATTTTTAACTCTCTAATCTGAGTCTGTGTATGCAGACTAAGCTTAACTGTATTTTTAATTGTATTGTAAATTGTATTTTTGGGGTCATTTTACAGAAATTGTTCTTTTGTCTCTTTTTTTTTTTTTACTGCAGCTATGCCACCGCCTATTGGAAGGAAGTTAGTACCTTTGGGACCAATGTCTCTATATCCACATCGAGGGCAACCAGCTTGATGCCGTGGTGCCGGACAATCCGCGCCATGTCGGGAATGTTGATAGCGCAGAACACCATCTCTGAGCCTCTGGGGTACTGCTTCGCCGAGAGGTAGAGGTCAAAGGCCGTCCGCACCGACAGGCAGGGCAGGATGGGGGTGGGCGTGGCATGGGCGTGGTTCCACAGTCGGTCCAGCTTGTACTCTATCAGGCTCCGGTGGTGGCCTGGTTCCATGGAGAAAGGGATGGCTGACAGAATATCGCTCCATGATGCATCTTCATTGATAAGGAAAAAAAAAATCAATCTTGATTGTTTTTTCTCTCTTGTTAATTATTGTAACGGTAGGTGTTTTAGTTGAAAAAAAGTATTATAAAAACGCATGAATCAATGTAATGAATCCTTACAATTTGTTTGATAGATAACCAGCAAAAGAATTCTAATTATGAAACAATGGTTTTCTGTTAAAAATGCAATACTTTAAAGGTACTATGTCCCATTTGCAGGCCAAAAAAATGAAAAAGTTAAATCCCAACTGCATTTGAAAGATAATACTAATTTAGAACTTCCCTAAAAAGGTGGGGCTTGAAAATGTCTTCAAGTGGGAAAATAACGACTATTAGTTGTCAAATCGACTTTAGGGCTATAGAGCCCAAAAGTAATAGTCTTGATTTTCAGACAATTGTACCGAATGGTCATACGTTTTATGCTGTGCAAAGATTCAATCAGTTTAATCTTGGCCATCACAAGAAGTGGGTTATTGATGTAGACAAATGCTCATGTACCCTTTACAACTCTTTTCATGTATGTTATTACCAAAGAAGAAAAAAAGCCAGTCAGTCACTCAATAGTGTCTGACAGTGAAGTCTAGCAAGTAAACGGGTTTCCTTGCATAATTTGAATATGAGGACACTGCTAACGTTTAAATTTCACAGATAGGACATACATGACATATTCATAATTCCTGCAAAGTTCTACAGCATTTGAGGTTGGCTGTAAAAGGGACATAGTACCTTTAATACTGAATGCATAATAAAAATTTAAGTTTCTGTATTACTTGTCATCATTTATCCTCTTCTTTTCCCTTCTTTTTCTCTTAATCGTTTTATTTCGCTCCTCTTATTCATCCTCCTCTTCCCCCTAATCTTTCTCTTCAATTCCCCTTCCTCCTCTTTCTTTTCCATGTTCTTTTTCTTCTTCCTTTCCTCTTTTTCTTTTTATTCCCTCCTTTCTATTTTTCTTATTCTTCTTCTTCTTCTTAAAGGTAAAGACCAGTTATGGTCATGCGATTGCATTGTGAAAGAAACGTTGTGGAATCGATCAGAAAAGGTTGATCATCTAGCATCTAGCATCTGCAAGGTTCTGGAATCATCAAAATGATAAGAAATTTGGCCCATTCTTCGTAAAGTTACAAGCACTATACACAGAAAGATGTATATGGGACTACCCTATATCTCTCACAGACCATGAGAGAAACAAATTTACCAAATATATGAATTAGTAGGCAGTTTCCCGGCAAATTTGTTATCATCATGTATTAGTCAAAACATATTCTTTCACATGATTGGTAATGAGAGCTTCCATTTTTATTTTTTGAAATTGGGGCGTTTCCAATACTGGTCTTTACCTTTAAAGCTGAGAACTAAAGGTACTTTAATTTGGCCTTTATGATAGCGAAGCGTTGTTTGTCGTGCAAACATTTCATGTATTCTACAAAATTTGTAATCTTTTCATTTCAGACCATGAATACCAAACAGTTACCCATCTACTGTTCACAATGTAAACTCTTTATAATTCACTCTACTGATTTTCTGAGTCCACATATGTTCACCATGGAAGATCTTCTGCCTCCATTTAAATCAAAGTTAGCATTCAATTACAGTAAGATTATATGTTTGTACATGTACCAGTACATCTCCTACAGTATCTGAAGGTGAACAACTAGTAACAGATAGAATGCAGATGTTTCAATTGCTGTCGGGGAAAGCATTATATTTCATTTGGCTCAGTAACTTTGTATTCAGACCCCTACAAAATATGTATACCAGATGCATGAAAAAATAAATGCAAAAAAAGGAAAACAGACTTGAAAATCCCTTAAGTTGCCAACACATTGAGAGGTTCAAAATCATTCCTTTTTTGCTCGAAATTGGCACTTTTGTCAACTTTTTAGAAAAATGGGTGCACAGACGTTGCATTTTATTAGAATATTGTAGCATTACAAGAAAAGTGTTATTGTTGCCAATTTGACGAGCAGTATGGGATCAATTTAGCCCTGTCCCTAAATGCTGTCCAAGTTAGGACAGTCATCTTGAGACATCTCTTGAAATGAAAGTGGACTCCGGTCTAAGGACAAGACATAATTACAGGTACATGTACACCTGCAGTTCTTCTTCTGTTGAAGGAAAGCTAGGCCACCTGGCTGTCGTGTAGCAGAAACTTTGTAATTTTATAGAAAAATCCAACCTGTGTAATAAGTTTATATACAGATACTGTAGGTATGAAAGCAGAAAAATGAGAAACAGAATGGCAAAAGTTTGAAATAGATTGGACAAATAATAAGAGAATTATGAATGTTTGAAATATGAAATGACTAAGAAATCTAGGCAAATTTCAAATTGGTAATTTGGTCCGAGGATTGTGAGCGACATACTCATAGTCTACCGGTACTACATTTGTAGTTTACAAAAATATCACTAAATTCTGTTTATCTTCTATGTGCCTTCTCTCTAGGGGCACTACTCAAAACACATTATGGATACTGGATAGCATATAGATACTGGATACATGACATGTAGCATATTATTATAGGTCCTCTATAAGAGGACATACTGACATTCAGTCATTTTGGAGTTGAAACAAATTATGGGAAAGTTGTCCGGCACTACGTCACAGAGACATCACTAATTCAGCCATTTTGAAGTGCCCATGGTAAAGTGATTACAACTTAAAAAATTAACACTTTCTTATTTTCTGTCCGATTTCATTCAAACTTTTGCCAGTCTGTTTCTTTTAGAGTGGTTGTCTATTAAAGGTAATACAAAATTTTGGTATGGGGTAATGAATTTGGTTCAAATGAAGATATTGGAAGCATATAATCCTTCAATATTCAGTGATCATTGTCACTGTTGAAATCGAGTCCAAAGTGATAAAATTGTAAATAATAAACTCTTTATGTTGCATAGCGCCCTCTCAAGGTCAAGATATTAATTAAGCTATAAAACAATGTTATTTGACTAAAATCGACCGATTTGCTATTACCGTTTGAAATATATAGTATATATCAGATCTGCATATTCTGAGGTTTTTATGATCGCAGCTACCATCATCTCGCCGTAGGCACTACTTTAAATTTATCAAAATTTACCGGGAGCACGGTAAATTTTTAAATTCAATTTTCTTGAAAGCAGAAGAGTTTTAGGGGCTAATTTTTTAAGTGCTTATAAACTACTTATAATACATCTATAGGGGCATCCAAATATATCCAAATTGTAAAGAATCACTATCCAGCCAATTTTCAAAATTTACCAAAACTTTGTAATACCTTTAAGGTTGGATTTTCCTTTAATGGTCTTGATATGACAATGTTGGGTAGGAACTACATGTAGGAATGTACCTTTCTTCAATGGTACAGTGAATACAAATAAAAGCGCAAAACCTCAGCATTCATATCATCAACGTTAAGAACCCACTGCACTATCCGTATAAGAGTAGTGGGGAACCCCGGTGTAGTGGTCCACCTGCACACACCCCCAGTATAGTACGATAATACTCTGTAAAGAGGTCTGTACTCAACAGGAAGAAGAAGGAACATAATTTCTGCCATTTATAAGCGATCATTGAAGGTGGTGAGGCACAACAGAAGCATTATCAAATGAATTTGATAAGGGCACACATTGCAGATACAATGAAAAATTCATGTGTGAAGTACATCCTGGTTCATGTTCATTCCATAGATCTCTATCCATTTCTAAACTTGTATGTGGATGATTCTTGAGCAAACTACCAGTATTACTGATGCAAACAATTTCTCACTACGGTACAGGACTTTGATTTTCCAACTCCATTGAAATCCTTCTGATTTCAGCAATGTACACGTACACGTACATGTAGTATCAGGTTATTGCATATGAACTATTAGGTTACATGTTGCATATGTACCAGGACATCTTATATCTTGGAGTTACAAAGTAGTAACTGATACGATCCAGACATTTTCTGGATCGTAATGCTGTCCGAGTTGGGAAAGTTATTCATAGACCGAAACTACCTTGCATTCAGACTACTCAAATTCTTTGTATATATACACGTAGCTATACAATGTACATTTTTTAGTGTGAACATCATATAATGAAATGACTGTTAGTAGAGCATCGTTTCAAACAAATACTGAAAGAATTAGCATCCTGTTGTAGTCTGAACCTCAAATTGTACCATGGTCCTATAACTGGGCGGGGCTTAATGTGACCGCGCACACGTGATTGATTGCCTAGCTGGCATGTCAACTGACCTTGTCACTCAATACCAGTTCTTTACATGAAGTTTTTCTTTATACAATGTTGTTCTCTAATCTGTAAGCTCGTTTTGCAATACAATGTTCTTTATAGATGTTTCTACATGTAATGAGTTTTGTATTTTTATAAATTTCCTATACTATAGTCTGTACATGTTTTTAGATACCGGTACCGGTTCAAGGGCGAGACAAAATACAGGTACATATACTGTACATGTAGTTTCATGGCCTCCATGTGAAAACGATTGAAAGGAGGAAATGGAACCCATGGTCAATTTACATTCAGAACTCCACAATACTTGCAAACGTTTTATTTCTGTTTGGTTTACAACCAGTTCGTCCACTACCCAATTGGTCTATTCCCATATGGTCTAATGTACATGTACATTATGTACACTGTAGCATGTCTACTGTCCTCATCGGTTAATGACAATTTCATCTTCTTATCATTTGGTCTATTTAGGCTAAATAGTCTTTTGATCTCATTTCCATTTGGCTTAATCTCTATTATAAGTCTACTACCCATTTGGTCTATAGCCCATTTATATGTAGTCTAATTTCCAGTTTGTCTAATGCCGATTTTGTCTACAATATGGTTTAATAATCGTTTGAATCATAAATAATAATAATCATCAATTCTCATAAGCAGCCAGCTGCCAGAGCTTTGTCTGACCAAGCAACAACTTTATGTATGCAGACCAAATAAGACATTGCTTGACTGTTTGAAACTTCTGAATCGAATAGCTTGTCGCCAGAGGTTATGAGATAACATTAATTCATTTGAATGCATAATAAATAAAATATGTATGTACTATGTAGACTATTACACAGATCTAGCCGATTATACAAGTATGAAGCCACCTGGTTATATCAATCGATACCAGTGGCCTATTGCAATGTTATCACAATTAAATATCTCTTGCAAAATTTGAAAGACAAAACCAAGTTAACTCACACACTTGCATAAAATTCTAATGGATGACTTTTAGTTTTTACAGTATCCATGACTTTCACTAACATCCTCCCAAGAAGTCCCAACAAACTTAAACGAAAAACATGTTATAAGGCAAATTCAGAAGCCTTGCTAATCACCCTGGAGTTAACATGATGTTTATGTAGCATGTACACTGTAGACCAATAACAAGTCAATTGCTAATTCAATTTTTCCTCATTCAAAATCATTCAAACATGCAATGGAATGTTATCCTTTCAAAAATGTATTTCTTCAGCATGTTCTGGTTTAATTCACTAGACTGTGATCATACATGTAATCCTTGGACAAAACTGGCATAGGCCTAGACCTATACAACATTGAGTATTAAAGTAAAGTAAAGTAAAGTAAAGTAAAGTAAAGTGAAGTAAGGTAAGTATTACCGTGAAGGCAATAAGGAAACCATCATTTACTCCTTGACCAAGGCCAAGCAAAGCTTGGTCTCCTTAAAGATAAAGACCAGTTCTGGTCATGCGATTGCATTATGAAAGAAACGTTGTGGAATCGATCAGAAATGGTTGATCATCTAGCATATATAAGTATTGGTGTGTACTGCAAGGTTCTGGAATCATCAAAATGATAAGAAATTTGGCCCAGTCTTCGTAAAGTTACAAGCACTGTAATAGTAATAATAATAATAATATGTCTTGTTTACCCAGGGTAGCCTCATCAATATTCATACAGAAAGATGTATATGGGACTACGCACACGTGCACAAAAGGTGCGTTTATCTCTCACACACCAATAGATAAACTAATTTACCAAATATATCAATTAGTAGGAGGTTTCCCGGCAAATTTTTTATCATCATGTATTAGTCAAAACATACTCTTTCACATGATTGGTAATAAGAGCTTCCATTTCATTTTTTAAATTGGGGCGTTTCCAATACTGGTCTTTACCTTTAACCTTAACTTCTTTAGTTTACCATGTTTACTCATAGTTTAGTCAGTTACATTGCAGTGCTGACGAATGGGTGGTTTCCAAAACCCAAGATATATTATTATAACCACAAGCTCAAAGCCCTTTTTTCGATGATTCCAACATATTATATCATATCCCATAGTAATTAATATACTTACCTATATAGAGGCATCCATAAGGCACTATTGAGAATTTGTCCCGAAACGAAGCCATGCCCATAGATCTAGCAATTCTGCTGGCGTTGCCGTCGGGCAGCGGAACTGGACATCCGAAAATCTGTAATGTTTGTGAGCAGAACCAGGCATAACATGTAGACTACGTACCGGTACATAGACTCTGCAATGTCAAGGACCATGTACCAATGCAATGTTCCTCATTTGATCTCTCCGTCATTTGTTTGTTCTTGAAATCGAAGTTGAACGAGCTGAATTAAGTGCAGTTCATGTGCATATAATGACATACAATTAACCTCGATGTATCCTAGTCTCCTAAACAGATCGAGCGTGTAATGCATGCGAAGCTAGCTAATTACCATTGCATTTAGTACAATTATTGTATGAACCGTACCGCGGTACAATAAACATACAAACTCCCTGATAAAACGCACCGTACGTACAGTACGGTACGTACGTGCTTCCGCAAGACATCACTCGCTGTGCGCGGTTGATGACTCAAAAACCGTCATGACAGGTTGCTTAATAATATAAACAACACGGAAAAACAAGGAGTCAAGGTTATGAGAATGGCTACATAATAGTTTCCCTTGTATGATTTTGAAATTGTGTCAAATCAAATATCCTCCTTGGTCAAATGTAACTGAAATTTGAAGACATGGACAAGACAACCATAATAAGTGGTGGTGGTGGTTATTTTACCTGACAACTAAAGCAATAAATGCTTGTTTTTGTAAACAACCAGAGGACCGACGGCTTTAAGTCCTCTCCGAGGGACATGGCAATGAGGATTAATGCCTTATCAAAGGGCACTAGCGCATCGAATCGGTTTCGAACCCGGGTCACCGGATTACGAGACCACTGCTCTACCGACTGAGCTAGATCGCGCCTCTCGAAAATCTCAAAAAGCTGATCCGAATAGATTTGCAGCAATATGGGTACTTTTGACCTACAAAAAAAATATCAACTGCCATATAGCTGGTAAATTAAAGACATGTCCCACCCCTAGAATCTCTTTGAAAGGCTGTGAAATGGGATTTAATTATATATGGAATTTTGAAACATGGACTATGGTCTATGGGTATGCCTCAGAGGCGGCCCTCTTTTTCAAGCATCCGGAAATTGCCCTTTTTTAATGCGGAAAAGTGTCCCTTTAACTTTGTAAGAAGTGCCCGTTTTTACATAGGAATAGTGCCCCTTTTAATTTGTAAAAGTGCCTCTTCCTCTTTTCAACTCTAATATAAGTGCCCCATTTATTTGGACAAGTTCCCTTTTTCCTTTGCAATAAGTGTCCAAGTTCCATTCTCATAAGTGCCCTTTTTAATTTCTAGTAAACGCCCTTTTTCAGATTCGAGAAGTGCCTCTTTTCAATTTTGATTAGTGCCCCCTTCACCTCTAATAATTGCCCTATTCAAATCTGAGAGGTGCCTCATTTACTTTGACACTGAGTGCCCCTTTTCCTTTGTAATAAGTGCCCCTTCCCCTTTTAATAACTACCCCCATTTTAACTCGGATAAGCGCAACTTATATTTTCACAATAAGTACCCCTTTTCCTAATGATAAGTGCCCCATTAAAAAGAGCTCCTTCCCCTTTCTCTGGTAAATGACCCTTTTCAGGTAGGAGAAGTTACTCCTTTTCACTTCAGGTAAGTCCTTAACCTCCGAGAAAGGCCCCTTTAAAATCTGATCGATGCCCAATTTCTTTCAACTAATGCACATCTCCTTTATTATAAGTGCCCCTTTTCATATCTGGCCATTGCCCCTTTTCAGGTGCGATTTTATTGTCTCTTTTTACCTCTGATAATTTCCCTTTAAACAATGATACGTGCCCCTTTTCCTTTCTAATAAGGGGCCAATCCCCTTTTCATAAATGCCCCTTTTCACCTCCTGTAAATGCCCCTATTAAAATCTGGTGGGCTCCTTTTCCGTCGACAAATGCCCATTTCCTATTCTCATGACTGACTTTTTTTTTTATCCCTGGTGAGTACCTCTTTTTGAGGGTGTAAGAAGTGCCCAATGTTCACCTATGATAATTACTCTTTGTACTTTGACACATGCTCCTTTCTTTTCTGATAAGTGTCCCCTTTTCCTCTCATCATTCAACGCGCCCCAAATTTCAAACGACTAAGAGCAATTCCTCCCAAAGCTCGCTCGCTGCGCTCGCACCCATCTATAGATGATATACTTATGTTACTTATCAGAGGTCTTTTCAGTCTTCCATTATGAGAATGTGCTTATAATCCCATCAGGGTTGGGTTTTTCCTCTTTATTAGATTTAATTTTTCGCACTGCGATCTCGCAAATAATTTTTCAGACCATCACACCCAACTGCAAAGCATAATGCTTATAAGCAATATCTTGTATGGTGTATAAAGTGGAACAATTAGTATTGAAATCATCCCTGATAATGTAATCATAATGTAGGGGTAATCTGGATACCAATGTCTAAAAGATTGTATATTTTCGCTTTGAGATTTCCCTTTTTAGGTGCCCTTTTTCAGAAAGTGCCCTTTTTCTTGGTGCCCCCCCCCCCCACTTTGGAAGTCGCTTGGCTGCCCCTGGTAGGCCTACTTTAGACCTTCGAAAAAATCTCTCAACTGCCAGCTAGACCTTTTCATAATATATTGAGATAATTGAGTAGACCTACACTGTCTTGATCAGACATACTGTTTTTCTGGGCTTTGGTTATGCCAAGAATATCATAAACGATAATATCATAGTCATCTTCCCTAAATACGCCTGGAAATGTGCAATTCTTATTTTGGTATCTGTCATTACAATATGGTTAGGCATGTGAAGGGGGTGCTTTATTTCTAAAAAATCTTTGCAGTAGTGTATTGTATGGGAGGGAATTACAAGACATTTTCTTACTGAGGAGCCCGAGGAGACAGGTGAAAACAGGTGAACGTGTTGTTATGAATTTTGCACTCCATCTATTCCTCGTCAAAACACAAAGAGCGTCCTCTGGTGATCACCAAACCAGTCAGCCGGGTTTCTTTCCGTATTTTGCTGGCATCCATGTGGATCCTATAGCTCTCCAATGGAAATGCATACTAGCTGTAATCAGGGAAGAGAGAGAGAGAGGGAGAGAGAGAGAGCGAAAGAAAGAGAAAGAGAGAGAGAGAGAGAGAGAGAGAGTCAGAGAGAGAAATAGTGATGCTAGCCGATTAAAAAGTAACGTAGTCAGTATCCTTTTTTTATTGACTTTTCGTTTTCAATTGTGACTCATTAAAAGTAAATGTGCATGCAAAGAGTAAAGATAACTGAATCAAATTAAAATAAATCTGAATCAAACAAATTAAAATTAGATAAGATAACATTGAACCAAAATTCATTTTCCTTTATGATATTAAAGCTCTCATTTAAAGCTCCCATGCACTGACATGAAAATATTAGATGACTTTGATAATGAGCTGAATTGAATCGAAATAAATTGAAGGAAAAATGGAAGCCTTAGGATGGGGTATTTACCTTTATCACAAATACTGGAAGAATGCTGAGACAGCAGTCGAGCTCCCAGGTCTATCTTCTTGTACTCGTTCTCTTTAAAGCCGAAAGACCAGTTCTGGTCATGCGACTGCATTGTGAAAGAAACGTTGTTAAATCGATCAGAAAAGGTTGATCATCTGGTATATAACTATTGGTGTGTACTGCAAGGTTCTGGAATCATCAAAATGATAAGAAATTTGGCCAAGTCTTCATAAAGTTAGAAGCACTGTACACAGAAAGATGTATATGGGACTACACATACGTGCGTGACACGTGCATTATGATCTCTCAACAGGCAAGAGATACACTAATTTACCAAATATATCAATTAGTAGGCGGTTTTCCGTCAAAATTTTTATCATCATGTAATATTCAAAACATATTCTTTCACATGATTGCTAATAAGAGCTTCCATTTCATTTTTTGAAATTGGGGCGTTTCCAATTGGTCTTTACCTTTAATAATCATTTTCAGTATATACGTTTTTAATGTAACAGATAAAACAGAGATCGACAAAGATTTCTTGTTATTAAATGAGCATCGCAATTATGATACATTCTTTAATGCATGTTAGATTTATTTAAAAAAAATATTGTTTCCATCCCCCTCCTTTTGACAGAATCCTGAACTTACCTCTGCTTATACGGAACTGTTGAGTGCACTCAGTATATAATTTCTATATACTGAGTGCACTCAACAGTTCTAAAGCTCCTGGGCACATTTAAGGTTTGAGTAGACTTTGTAAGAATGTGTGTCATCATTTGTCGGTTGAGTAGTCATGTGAAACTCGTAAAGAGCAAATAGTCGCTTTGTTACTTTGCTTTGATGCTCGTGGGTATTTGTCTCCAGGAGTAGGTATTGTCCTCTTTCATTACGTGGAGCAGCTCCAATAAAAACCTGTCAGCAGAAGAACTTGTGTAACCTACTTGCCCCATCGTCTTACTTTCTTACATTGTAATTGTAATTGTAAGCTGCATGACGTGAGCCTCGAATAAAGAGAAAGTGTGTTTTTTTTTTCATTTTGTGTGATTTTTTTTTAATTCAAATGCACTCTCAACTCCTGTGTAACTTTCGGAAGTATCGGGACATCCTGGAGGAAATACGTGGAATTATTATGCAAATGAGTGATCTTTAGAAAAGGTATGTATATTAGTGTTCGTGTCTAATACACTATGTACATTGCTCTGTGCAGTCATTGAAACAAAAATGATTACTGTAATTTTACTTTACTTTAATCCATTGATGTTGGTGGGAGAGGGCCTGTTCATCGATCGATTGAATTCCTTTGCATCAATACTTCTGTTTGTTGTGGTTGGGTGTCAAGGTGTGTGTGTGTGGAGGGTGGAATAGTTCTGCATTCTTCTTCTAGTTACTTTCAGGGTCATACTGAAGGTGATTTTTTTTCCCCAATAGTTATCCAGTTTGTTTTTGAAGGCATTTACGGGAGGGGCATTAACCACTTCTTCAGATAGGCTATTCCATGTGTCCACTACTCTATTCAAGAAAAAGAATTTCATGATGTCAAGGTGTGCAAATTTCTTCTCTAGTTTCTCTAGGGTATATGGCCTCGTATATTCATTTTGTGCATAACTATTACAATTATTGACTATACAAAAAACCTCCAATATAAAGTCATTTCAATGGCTTGCCAAACAATTTGATGTAACCTGACATCCACGCATGCTGCACTCCGTTTTAAGTCGCAAACTGTCAATTGAACTTATATATTGGAAGACGACCGGGAGATCTACAAGATTACCTCATTCCCGTAAATCGATGATGATGATGATGATGATGATGACATTGATTGGGCAGAATTTTGAGGAGATGTACATGATGGCATGAAGTTCTACATATCATTGGGCAATTCCGAACTATTCTGTCCCAT